CCAATCTTTCTCTAATAAAAACGCTGCCGATACAACGGAGAAGGGGAAGAGGGAGGTGGGGGGAGGGGAAGAAGATTTCCACCAATCAGCTCTCAGAACCAATTATTAAGACCTCCCCGGAAATTTATCGAAGTTAAATTTTTCCCAAAGCCAGACACGATCCTGTCGGCCAAGAACAAGCCCCTCCTGAGATCTTTCCGACAAAACTAAATACTGGTTATCCAGACCCACAGTAAGAAGAATCACACCTACCTGAGCACGAGCAACATTTCGTGCTCCATGAGTGATGCTCGCAGCGTTAGCTGAAGAACTTGACGAATTCGTACTCCTCATCAACGTTTCAAGTGTTTTCAGGACAGTGTTGACGGTATCGATGGCCTCCTGAAATTTTCAGGCGTAAAAATGAAGGGCACTTTTACAATTCGCCAAACATACCTTCTGCGACAATTGGAGATATGTAATTGTCTTGACAAGGTCATTACAAATTCGTTTCTTATGGAACAATTTTGTTATGGAACTTGGCGCTCCGCCGAGCAAATGACGATGATGTGAGTGAGATAGCGAAGTCATAGATGATGGGCAAGAATCAAGCATCATTACAAGTAAAGAGCACAACTCTGTGATCTGAAACGAACAGAGTAAATATGAAACCAAAACCTCTGATTGAAAAGACTGAAGACATACTTTGCTACAGATTGCCGATGATGAAAGCGACGAGTTTCCAACTGCGAGGAGTGACGCTTTCATATCTGACACCAGCGACTCCTGCGCCTTAGGAGAGTGATTGCACGCAGCCAGAATGGAAATTAGCGTTTTCAAAGAGCCAAGAGTATCCTGGAAACAATGGTAATTTGTGGTACTGGTAATTGTACCAGGGCTTACTCTTTTCAATGTAGATAGTAACTCAGTAAATCATGTTTCCCAAGAAATTCGAAGGGTATCCACAAACTCACCTTCTCTTGCGATCCATCGATGAAATGCTCAATAAGTTGATGAATAACGCTCTGACCGTCTTCTTTCGCTTCACATATCAAAGAAGCAACACCCGGATAGGATTTGACCAATTCGGCCAATAAACTCAGGATTGCTCCTCGACTTATCTACAACGGAAATCTACTAGTTCAAAACTGCTCCATTCAAACCTCAACAAACATTCAGGAAAGGCTTCAGTCCAGTACATGTCCACAATACAATACGTTCATTAGACAACCTTCAGACTTCGCGATGATGCGCGTCGACGCGCTACAATTGCAACAACGCTCCTATCCTATAGACGCGAGCTCAGTCGCAGACAGAAATCGATCGGCGCCGGCCGCTTGTGTTCTGACAGAGAATAGGATTACAGGAGGGCAGGAGCTGCCTTCACAATGTGGTAGTCTCCGCGATTAAATGGCGTCGGCTAGTAGGTGTTCCTTATGAAACCAGCTGTCCCATAAGTAACTTGCTCCCCCAGTAGCAAAATAAGGGGCAAAAGAACTCTCGGGAACACTCCATTAACATATGACCTTCCCTCAGCAGTCTTGGACGAGTGTCTCGGGCGTGAAGGACGCGCGTTTCATAGCGATTTTAGCGCGAAGCTTGAGCCGTGGGACCGTGGCGTCAGCGCCAATCAATTCCTGGCCAAACGATGCGAAATTCTGTGTTGGAGGTTTCGAGTCTAGCGTTTTTTTAAAAGCTCGATAGTTCTGGTCTGATGTCGGAAGACTGGGGTAATAACAAATGAGTAGTGCCCCCATCTAAAGATCATCAGGTGAGTCTGAGAAACACACTAACTGCTCTTCATTTCAAATCCTTCTCTTGCGACGAGTATGGAAGAGGAACTATCTGCTCTTCAGTTCACGTCCTTCCCATCGCTTGCAGAGTATGAAACTCAAGAAAGGCTTGCTACTCTTTTGTTCACATCTTCCCAATTGGAATCGCGCATGCAAGGGCAATAGGAACTCTAAAATAGCCTGAGTCGTGTTCAATTTATGTCCATCAGTGCGAGGTTTGCGCTTAATCGCTATGGAAAGCTCG